ATTTGTGGGCGTGGCAGTGGTCCGATTATGCCCATCTACGTACTCGAATCTTTTTTGTACTAAGCAACCCTCAATTTTTACTGAAGTAACAGTTTGCACGGACGGACAGATGCGTGCATTCGTTAATAGCAAACAAAAATCCAAAATCGACGATAAAAGCAAATAAAAAAGGGATTCCAGTGAGTTYTGCAAATTTAGGTAGATCGGGGTGTGAGAATTTTTAGATTTAATTTCTCACAATTATATTATATCTAGTAAAAATATGTGTTCATTCATGTTAGAAATTCTTGGTAACTTCCACTGCAACGGGCGTTACGGAGCCTCTGCGTCGTCCCAGCATAAATTTTACTATACTTTAAAAGTTCCAATGAAGATCTTTTTAAAGTTTAAGTAGGTATGAGGATGGCTTAAGCTKGGACTATCTGAGGCAATAACACAGATTTAAAGGAACTCAAGGGAGTTAAAGGTGGGATACTAATAGTTTCGTAAATACCGGTACAAAAGAAAGAGGACCACGAAATGTTTCTGTCATATTTGGATATTTTTATGTTMTTAGAGACTGAGAGAGTTCGAAACAGCCAAATTTAGCTGACTTTGTCAAATTCTGAAACAAGTGAAGTCCATTTTGTCTCATTTGGAAATTCGCCTTCTCTGCTGGGAAGGCTTATTTTACGTTTAACTCTAACATATCGTTTCTTTGCTTTCACGAAATTTGTGATGAATTTTGTACTTGTTTTCTATTAAAAAAAAAAAAAAACTATAATTGAACCCCGTTATTGAAAATCGTTTCAACCGTTTGAGTTGGATATATTTTTAGTACCGCCTTGAAATGTTTTCTTAATATATTTATGTTTATACCATATTTATATAAGTGCAGAGTACTCTCAAAAATACCAACATAACTTTTTCCACAACTAAATTCTTCTCTTTATTTTTCTGTAAGTAATTATTTAAATAAATACTAATATGTAATTAAATTTCTTTTTCGGTTATTTTTTTTTTTCAAGAGAACCAACCGGTCCTTCACCATTGACCATGTAGGTAATACATTTTTAACGGACGGCTTGCCATTCCGATATGTCTCAGGCTCGTTTCATTATTTCCGCGCTTTGCCTCAAGTATGGGCCGAACGTTTGAAGACAATGCATGCAGCCGGCTTAAATGCCATCGATACGTGAGTATAATAGTTTATATGGTTTTCTTTCCAATTGCTACGAGTGAAAACGCAAGATTTGTCAATGTTTTATTTAACAGCAAGACCTAAATTTAGAAAATTTAATCTGAAATAAATACCTGATTAGAAAAACTCGATGATATAGTGCAGTTAAGTTAATAACTACATACTTCACATGCTTGAACATATACAGTTCTAAACCTCTGCCATATTTAAAAAATATAACAAACTCGGAATGTACCAAAAGATGGTCTGGCGAATGAACAGAAAATGCATGTCATTCTCCGTCGCAGTTGGTCCTAAGCCACGATTTGCTTTCCTAATATTTGTTTAGAGAATATTCAACAAAATTTCTGCAGACGTACATATGCTCACGTATGTACGGTTTAAAGGAGATAATTATGTTCAGGCTGGATCACTCAAAGTCACCTGCARGCTAGCAGTCGCGGTGAAGCACTTCGAAGTCGGCACTTCTTCATCGGTTGTCTCGAGGCTACATGTATGCGCCCATTAAATTAAATTTCATTGATAATTTTTACTATACATGTATATACACACAATACATAGTTTCTAAATTATATATGTATTCACAAATTTAGCTACATCGAGTGGTCTTTGCATAACCCGCACGACGGCGTCTACAACTGGSATGGTATTGCTGATATTGAACGCTTCTTGGAATTAGCACAAAAGGAAGGTTTATATGTAGTGCTACGACCGGGTCCATACATTTGCGCGGAGCGTGATAATGTAACATAAGCTTTAAGTAAGGCTTAAATATTGAAAACTAATCAAAAGTTTTCATTTTCTACAGGGCGGGTTACCACATTGGCTTTTCACCAAGTATCCCGAAATTAAGGTGCGAACCACTGATACTTACTATCAATTGGAGGTAAGCAAATGGTATGAAAAATTAATGCCGCGTCTAGAACGGTTTCTCTACGGCAATGGTGGTCCCATTATAATGGTACAAGTAGAAAACGAATATGGAGCCTTTTATGCYTGCGATGCCAAACATTTGCTTTGGCTTCGCGATGAAACCGAAAAATATGTTCAAGGAAATGCAGTACTTTTCACAACGGATCAACCTAATAATGGTTTGGAATGTGGCAAAATTGAAGGCGTACATGCGACAGTTGATTTTGGAATAGGTAATTAAAGTTTATTTTTTATKGGTATTAATATTTATCACTGCCATTATGATTATTAATGAACACAGGTTCCAACTTCGATGAACACTGGCGTGCTATGCGCAGGGTCCAACCAACGGGACCGTTAGTAAATTCTGAATTCTATCCCGGTTGGTTAACCCATTGGGGAGAGGAGAATCAGAGACGTGATGGGATGGAAGTTGCAGATTCCCTGAGGTAAGGCCAAACACAGACACATAAGCCGAAATATTCGAGGCATCCTTTGTTAATTTGTATTATTCGTAAGAAGCAGTAAGAAAGCAACCTAAAATTCGATCAGTATTTTAAAGAGAGTGTATCGATATTTTACGATTTATTCATATTTTCACAAAACCCTGATTGAATATTAAAACAAATAGATTTTTGCGATATAAAGAAGCCCAATTAATTTGTTCCACTTGGTGATCAATTTAGCAGATAGGATTTTCATAACTAATAACATAGACTAATATGTTTTTATCTTCTTGCATATCTCTATCTTCTGTTCGTCGTTGATATCATCAACAAACTGACCATTTGTTTTTGCCTGCAGACGAATACTCGAAGCTGGTGCCAGTGTAAACTTTTACATGTTCTTTGGAGGCACCAACTTTGGTTTCACCGCTGGCGCTAACAATTATGGAGACTACGTAGCTGATATCACTTCTTACGATTACGATGCCATAATGGATGAGGCGGGTAATGTCACTAAGAAGTTCGAAATGATACGAAAAGTCATAGCCGATTTTATCGACGTGCCAAACGAAGAAAGCTGCAACGGTTGCATAGAAACGCAACGCTTGGCTTACGGTAATGTAACGCTAAAGCCCATAACCAATTTACTCTCAGAAGTAGGACGRACTACATTGGCGAAAGGCAAACCACTGTCAGCCGAAAAACCACTCACATTTGAAAATCTCGATCAGTACTCCGGCCTAGTTTTGTACGAAACGCAATTGCCACATTTGGAAATTGATCCCACAGTTCTCACAGTCAATGAATTGAATGATCGTGCCTTTGTATTTGTAGATGAAGAGTTGGTTGGCACGTTGTCGCGTAAAAACGGTATCTTGTCGGTGCCATTGAGCAAAGGATGGGGTAGCCTTCTACAGATTTTGGTAGAAAATCAAGGACGTATCAATTATGAAACTATGAATGATACCAAAGGTATTTTAGGTACGGTAACAGTGGAACGTTTCAATCGCGAAAAACAAGAACTCAAGCACTGGGTCACAACTTCATTTCCATTGGAAAGTGAGCAAATAACGTTGATTTCTGCAACGCTTAAAAGCGAAATGAAARCCGACGTAGTACCGAAAAGCAAACTTCTAAGAAATGGACCTGTAATATATCACGGTGAATTCACAATAGAAAAACTCGGCGACACTTATCTAAATCCAACCGGTTGGGGCAAGGGTGTGGCTTATGTAAATGGCTTCAATTTGGGACGCTATTGGCCGTTGTTAGGGCCTCAAACAACGTTATATCTTCCCAAGGATTTACTAAATCTTGGCACGAATACGCTGGTTCTTTTGGAATACCAGAGAGCTAACTTAAATGAGGCGACTGGAGACTATAYCGTGACGCTCGACGATAAACCTCAGTTAGATGGATAATTAATTGCTAATTAGAGTGTTTTGTTATTGTTGTATTTCCTTTTTTTAACTAGAAGCATTTTATATAAACATTGTTATTAAATGAAAAAATCATAACTTAATCTTATTGGTTACGAAATGAATAATGAAACTTGGGCTCACCCGTAAGTTGCTCTTAAACTTAATTAATAAAATTCTCTGTTTTTAAACTGTTTCAGGCAATTCTGAGTTTATAGTTGCACCTAAGCCTTATGCCTTTGGTCTGGTTGAAAGAACGCGTTACAAACAAAATATCTCTATCCATATCCGTCCCCGTCACTAACCTTAACTAGAATACTGTTAAAGTTGCATGATATTTTTTCCAACCGTATTCGACTTTCAAAGAAAAAGCTGATCAAAAGCAATAAGAACGAGTTTTCGCGCTAATTATTGACAAATAATGAAACACCGCTGAGCTGTTGTTGCTCGGTGAAAGTCGCAGAAAACACCTGTAAATGCAAAAGTCGACTAAAAAGGGAATAAGTCAGAACATGATAAACCAATCAAGAGACAATATTGCTATGCGTTTTGGATTGAGAGTAAAGCCAAGCGACCAAATTTTTCCCAATTCTACACACGGGCTCACTTATTTGTGATACGTCTGATAGATTTTAGGAATTTCGGTTTAAGCTATTCCSTCACACACCGCCATATTAGCCATATTTAGTCTTCAGCGATTTTTCTGCTCTCGCAAACTCAAAAAGTGGTTTCATTCAACTGAAGAATTGAGGATGAAAGAAAGCGAATATTTTGAAGGCCACGACAGTAGGGTCTRCGTAACCGGKRCGGACCCTTGGATAACCGATACACAAATTCCATACTCCATTCAAAAAAGTTCYTCCACTGCTGGATAAAAATTTTTTGAGTCCAAAAATKTATAATGTCTTCACTGTAAAGAGYAAAACCCATATTATTTGACAATTAAGAACTGATCTGTAAAATATTTTAGYATAGTATATTTAGTTCTTTCCTTCAGCCAACTTTACTTGTCTGATYCGTATGCACGAAATAAATTTCCAGAAGTTTAAAAGGTTTTGTTAACTAAACATTTACTTAGTGTTATGTTTATTACATTAAGGTGTTTATACATATGCAGTAAAGTACACATATACGTATGTATTTATGTTCTTATTGTATGTTATGTATACATTTGTATATGATTGTATAAGCAACATAAATCGTAAGGGCGTCACAACTTACCAAAAATTTGCTAAGTACTGAAACTATTTACCTTTTATTTATATGAACATTATATACATAATCAAAATAATTTTTAAAACAGCTTTTCAGCATCATGTCCAAAAAAAAAAAACTTCAGAAAGTTTTGCTGGAATTTAGAATATGATGCCGCGATTTCGGGGCTACAAGGGTTATAGGCTGTATGYACGAATATATGTAAAACTGCCGCTGTCTTATTCTATTCTTTTTAAGATATTTGTATTTAAAGCTCAAAAWTTCACTAATTTCATGTATGTAAGTAATTTTTCAATTTATAGGAATACAAGGCATTCCCACAAAAAATTTAATAAATTCAAATTGTTTCCCAATTAAATAAAAACTGTTTCATTTTTGTCTGTAAATTTAACTGCTTCTAAACAATTACGAAGGCATATAACGTATGTATGTATATATTGTATATATTATTCATTTGGAGAACCTCTACTTTCAGCCCACATTCATTTAAATCCCGAAATCGCGGGATGCTATTTTAAAATTCATCGGTTATTTCTACAAACAAAAATTTGTATGAAATTGTTGTATTTACTACACTTACGATTATTTGCTTACAGGAAAATGCTTGGCAAACGAGAGAAATTTGTCCGTTTCGTAATGCTATACAATATTTATAACTATCTAAAAAAGTGTGTGTACATAACCTACATAACATTTTATGTAATCAATATTTTATAGKATAATGGAAGCATTAAAGAAAATGTTTAACATATCTTGAATATCATCAACTGCCTACGTTCGTCTTACCACTGTTCTTTTTTTCAAAGTTTTATATCTTAAAGTAACAAGGATATTTTATAGTTTGTATTTAATATAATATGTGGATASCTTATTAAAGTTGAATACACTTACGTTATTTTAGTTTACTGTTATTTACCTGTTGTTTGCTAAATTTGACGAAGCGCAGGCAATTAATTTAAGCGACTTAACATGTAGTAACCTTACATATGGTAATCGAGCAATCTTAAGTGGAGTTTCATAAACACAAAAAGTAATCTCTCTAATTAGTATAACGATTAATAAACTATAGACYCAAAACTAAATACGTATTATAAAGTAAAACATTGAAAATATCAAAAATAAAAAATGGAAATAAATGAAATAAAGGAGAAGAAGAAGGTAAACAATTATTCTAGCTTACTTGTAATATTTACTTATTTTGGAATGGAATTTTCTATTTTTTTGTTTACTTTACATATTTTCAAACAAACATTTTTTTAAATACTTTCAAGATAATATCAATTTTTTTCTTTGTACGCAAAAGTTGTCAAAAGGCAAACACTTATGTTAAAGAGATTTCTTAATGAAGGTTATTACAATAATAATATTTTTGTATTCGGGCAGTGAAAATACATTATACGACAACGGGGAGAGTAAAAGAAGGCAATTATACGCCTGGCCTTAGACCATTTTGATATCAGGCGTTAATATTTAAAGAATAATGGTATGTACCGTATGGTACCGTAAAAATGTGAGATGAAAAATAAACTTTTGTCAAAATTCCATCGCTGATGTGATGATGTGAGATTCCTTTGCAAGTTCAGTTTATATCTAAGAGCTTTTCAATACAGAAATCTCTTTTAGTTAATAATAGTATGTATTGCTAGCTAATTGTTATTACTTATGTATGTACATATAAATCAGTACAATATTCGTCTGTCAAATATCTAACTAATTTTTATTCAAATGTAAGTACATAACTAGACATACATACGTATTAGGGTGGAGCAAAATTATGTTACAAAWTTTATGCAATTTGTTACATCTTTAATAGCATAGGGATAAAGCAGTTTTCTTCAAAAATAGAAATGATGGTAAATACTGTTTTGTTATTTGAGAAGTAAATATATACTATAAATCTAAATAATGGAAAACATATTTAGAAAGGTGGCATAGGGACTTATATACTCAAAAAAGATTAAAATGTTAGCCTACGTACCTTTTTGTATTATATGTATATACAATCTGTAAATGTACAGAAGTAAATCTACACTGAAAAAAAAAATAATAATAATTACCACCCTAATACTTGCATATGTCATATCGCATATTTTTATTTAGTTTACATTTTAAGTGTAATTCCTAACGTGTAAAAGTAGTTTATACTTAACTCACTTATTGTGGTCTCACAAAATAACTAGATTTTTGCGTTTCGTTTAAGCTAACAAAGCTTACGCGTACCTTTTCGTTACACTTATTAGTTTATTTAATCATAGGACTAAATCTGCTTAATTACTTTGGTTTGAGCCTTTTATTTATATTGAATAGAGCATTAACACAGTTAGTCTTTACTTGACTCTGCTGATAAATAGTTAGATGGCCGTGAGCGCATTTCTTCTTCCGTCCCGAATAATACGCATGCGCTCCAACCACATAAGGACGAGTGTATTTAAAATAGACATTTACTTATGCAGTATACTTTTTCTGGACTAATAGTAATATCTTCACTTATTGCGTTTAAATAGCAACAAAACAGTATATCAGGTTACAGTTTGCTATACTTAATAGACTTTTCAAGTGCTTCAGAGTTGTTGTGAAAATAAAAAAAWATATATATATATACATAGGTGTGTTGTTTTTGTATGTGGCATATAACCTTTGTTTGCTTAGTTTGAGTTGCATCATTATAAGTCAAGTTAGTTTTGTTTTGTGTTTGTGAGTATTTTGAAAGCTGACCAAAAGAGTTATCACAGCTGCAATTTGAGTTTGACTTGAAAATTAGTGGAAGAATGTATCGTATGAGATTTTAAAGTAAATCAGCTTAATGTAAAAAAAGAGTAATTAAAAAGTGTCAATATATAACTGAATTCATACAAATCGAACTTTAAAAAGCTTTAAACACTATTCAGTTGATGTTGCTTTCTCAGTATAGGGGTTTGCATGTCTCTATGTTTCTCTAAGTTCGGTATATACTAGTATAGTAGTATGTACATGTACGTCTCTAACTCAAAATGSTAGCATAGTCGGAAGTTTAAAGCTTACGTTTAACTGTTTAACTAGTTTACTGTGCATTACTTTACCCGTTCATTTTCACATATGCACTCTTTCATACTACACCCACATGTTGCGGCGTGTCTTGTACCCGACCTAAATGGCAGTGGGMCGTGGCGGTATGCCATTGCATGGCGCGGCGGAAGGTATTTGTCAGTGATACTTAGATTTTTGCGCATTTATATCGGCGCGGAGATTTTGTGTGAAGCAAATGCCAAGTATCTGTAAATTAAATTTATAAGTTAGTGTATGTTATATAGCTRCAGTTATAGGGATTAAAACAAGTAACAAAAACATAATTCAAATTAAATAAAACAAACCTGTACGAAAATAAGTATAATAACGCTGGTTGAAATTATAATTAAATTACGCTCAATCCACTCTTCACCCGCTTGTACACAGCCTTTTTCGTAAATGATTTTCGATATTTCAAAATTCTAGGACAACACAAATATAAATAATAATAAAAGTATTAGTAGGACAAAGAACTGTAAAACCAAAAAATTTTATAATTCATAAATTGTTAACACACAGTTTAAATTATACGACTACATTTAAAAAATGTTAGTACAACAGGACCTGCACTACAAGTATACAAATGCAGGAAGAGGCTACACTAATCAGGTGTGCTTCCAGCCAATCTTCGCCTGCTCGCAAACAACCGCGCTCATAGATATGTCGTTCCACCGGCTATAGCACAACCCCAGTATTTTATTATTCGTGCGATTATTCATTAAAAAGTTCGTTCCATTATTTAGTAGGCAGCAAATAGAARGCATTAGTAGGAGATTAGTTCAGAATTAGTAATGAAATGCAAAGAACTGCTTGGTTAGGCTTATTTTTTTACAACTACACATACATATCCTTCTTTGCGCACATCGTAGCCACATTGCTTATTCTTTATTAATTCGGTTGGTCGCCGACGGCAGCATGAAAACGGCACTCCACATGCTTCCCGACTCCCGATGGCGCTGGATGAACAATTGAAGTAGTTATTGCTATCCCAATCTTTTGGGCCATCAATTCCACAACACTGCAGCCAATCTTCTTGTATCCAGTCGATAAGATTTTGCTGATCTGGATCCTCACGGTAGTGGATTATGAAGGCACGTAATCCTTCRGTAGCTTGATCTTTTATCTAAATTAAGGTGTGAAATTGTATAAATAAATGTAGTAAATGTATTGGAACTGGTATGAACTCACCCAGCCCTTATCCTTTAGTACAAAAGTTAATATGCCCAAGCTTATTTCAAAAGTCAGCAGCAACGACAGGAATAGTGCGTACTTAAAGTTTGTTTTTTTGGATAATGTCAAGAAAAAAAAATATTTTTAGGCTATTGTTGTTTTTGTCAACATTATAAACTTTTTTTCTACAAGTTTCAATAGGAGCTACCTTAAATTGTGTTTGACTATTTTAGTTAATCCTTATTGCAACACCATTATGTTTATCAAAAATTTAAGAAAATTCTTACCAGTGACAAGAGACAGGTATTTTCCCGTAGCGCTCCAACGCTTCCMGTAAAGCCAATTATAAATGTGATTGTTCCCGTACAAATTAACACAAAGGCCGGATCTAAGGCTATAAATGTTAGCTTAGCCAAATTACTGAACATATCTTTTTCGTTCCAAGCCCAAATACCAACTGCCAGAACACATAATCCAGCAGTCTTCAAAGAAATAAAAGAATTAACTATATGAATAACTTCGTTTCCATCTAACTTACCCAAACAACTACGTTGCTGCTAAAGAGTAGATATTTTAAACAACAGCTTATCTCAGTGGTTTCGCGACGGTATTTCCGTACGGAAGGCATTTTTGTTACTTTGTTGTATATATTTATATGTAGCTATATTATCAAAAAAAAATAAAAAAAATTGACTTGTATGAAATTGACCTTATGCAAAAGAACGTAGAATTTGCTTTCCCTAGGCTGTTGCCTTGAACTACAGAAATATTCCGTTTGTCTTTACAATAGCCACTATAATAAATTTTAAAATATTGCTATAAATGCACATTCTCTTTTTTATTTATTGAACATTACGATATACTGGAATTTTTTGATGTGGGTTAAATTTGTAACAAAAATATTTATAGAAGATTTCTTGCAAGTTTTTCTTGTCAGATCASTTTTTTTTTTATTGGAACGAATGTCAACACAAACGAAATCAAACATTAACAGTGACGTCCTCWGAAATGGAACAGCTTCAACTATATTAAATTTTCAGTAAACAATTAGGTAATCAACAGTTTCGTTTTTAATACCATCTGAACATGGTATCATGTGTGTCGTGTATGGCGTTCTCTGAGCACAAAATCTCATTTCTCTTGTGTCGACGTACAGTGAAGATCTCGGACGAACAATGGAAAGTGTTAAGGGGGGAGCTTCAAAAMATCGTTTTTTTTTTTTWATAATTTTTTTGAGAGGGAAAGAAATAATTGATTCAAATGAAATTTCTAGGCTTTATTGTAATATATTTGAGCATCTTTCACAAAATTTGTGGATACGAAATCTTTGATATTAACATCGCATTTCGAACTTAAAACATAGAGAAAGTGCAAATTGAATTCTGTATGATGTTCGATTGGACGGCTAACAGAACGTTCTCTGGTATAAGCGCGGAGCTTCAAAAAAAAAAAAAAATAATAAACATGGCAACCCTTTTCTTATTGTGCAAATGAAGAGAATTTAACTAAAATAAAATAATTAAAATAAAGCTTTATTGCAACAATTATTAAAAAAATTAATATACAGAAACGTTATAGTGAAATGTTAGTAAGTGAAAGTGCATAATATAAGTGAAAAAGTTATTCACAATATACAAAATATCAATGTAAAAGTTGTCAATTTTTCTAATATAAATGCAAATACCTTCAAAACTATAAGTCAGCGGCAACTATATATAATATATATATTTTCCTGATCTGGAGGACGTCAAATTTCCAGTGGTACCCATTTTGTTCCCGAAATCCGGGGATGCTATTCTAAATCCCAGCCGAATTAATAAATGTTGTAATAGTTGCATATAAATGTTTTTGTTTCAAAAGAGGTAATGTCAAAATTAATGGAACTATTTTATCCTTATGCTTGAGAAAGTTTTTGCTGTCAGCTTTAACTATTGTGAATGGCTTGCTAAGAAGAGGAAAGTGCTGTGAAAGAAAGAAGTATATTGGGTTATTAAAATAAATTATAATTTAGGTGATAACTAGCCAAAATGTCCGATAATGAGGATGATTTTATGTGTGAAGATGACGAGGATTATGGATTGGTATGTTTCCATAAAATTGTTTTAAAGTATAGMTTGTTCTAGCAGAGAAATAATGTTTTCTTGTTGACCGGCTTTACTGGCTTCCTTTGCAGGAGTACTCGGAAGACAGCAATTCGGAACCAGATGTGGATCTAGAAAATCAATATTACAATAGCAAAGCCTTAAAAGAAGAAAATCCAAATGGCGCGCTGGCATCATTTCAGAAGGTGCTGGACTTAGAGGGTGGAGAAAAAGGGGAATGGGGTTTCAAAGCGCTTAAGCAAATGATTAAAATAAATTTTAAATTGGTGAGGCAAATTTCAGATTGAACGATTATAATTGGAAATTTAATGTATGTGGTTTTACAGAATAATTATAATGAAATGATGGAGCGTTACAAACTTCTATTGACGTACATTAAAAGTGCCGTCACGCGTAATCATTCAGAAAAGTCAATAAATTCCATTTTGGACTATATTTCCACTTCCAAAAATGTAAGTTCTGCTTTAAGTAATTGTTTATACCATAATCTGATAAATGTTTTAGATGGAGATTTTGCAAAAGTTTTATGAAACTACATTAGATGCGTTAAAGGATGCCAAAAATGACCGCCTTTGGTTCAAAACTAACACCAAATTAGGGAAACTATATTTTGATCTTGGTGATTTTATCAAATTGCAAAAGATATTAAAGCAACTACACCTGTCATGTCAAACTGATGATGGTGAGGATGACTTAAAGAAAGGCACACAATTACTCGAGATATATGCACTAGAGATTCAAATGTATACCGTGCAGAAAAACAACAAAAAGCTAAAAGCTTTATATGAACAATCATTACATATTAAATCAGCAATACCACATCCATTAATAATGGGTGTAATACGTGAGTGCGGCGGAAAAATGCATTTGAGAGAAGGTGAATTCGAAAAAGCACATACAGATTTCTTTGAAGCGTTCAAGAATTATGATGAATCCGGGTCTCCACGACGCACAACTTGCTTGAAATATTTGGTTTTGGCAAACATGTGAGTTCAAATATATTATTTAGTATCCAAATGCATTCTACATGGTATAAATTCCAATAATATTCTTGTACTAGCAACATGACATACATTTTTAGGTAATTTTAAGTTATTAATTATACACATTCTTCGTAATTTCTATAGGTTAATGAAGTCCGGCATAAATCCCTTCGATTCGCAAGAGGCCAAACCATATAAACAAGATCCCGAAATTGTGGCCATGACGAAACTGGTTATTTCGTATCAAAATAATGATATTACAGAATTCGAGTCCATACTAAAGACTAATCACAAAAGCATTATGGATGACCAATTTATACGTGAACATATTGAAGATCTGCTACGCAATATACGCACACAGGTACTGATCAAACTGATACGGCCCTATAAAAATATTGGCATACCATTTATAGCGACAAAGTTGAAAATAGAGGCAGCAGAAGTCGAAAGTCTATTAGTATCGTGCATACTAGATAAGTAAGTATAAAGTTATTCAATAATATAAATTTAGAATATAATACTTTTTATGATATTAGCACGATCCAAGGACGCATTGATCAAATTAATCAAGTGCTACAACTTGATAAAGAAAATAGTAATGCAGCGCGTTACAATGCCGTGGACGGTTGGGCGAATCAAATCTCGTCGCTGCATCAGGCTGTGGTCAACAAAATGGCATAAACGATAGTGTAGATTTGTGTTAAGCGGGTTAAAAACATGCTTGCTACAATAAAGGATTACTACATAAATGGAAGATTTGCCTATTAATTCGTGTTCTTTATTTTAATATTGTTATTTAACAAATTTAAAAGAGATGCGGTTAATCAATATTTTTAGTATTTCCATCCTTTTTTTATTTGCAAAATTTAATTTCAACGTCTTCAATAAAATGATGTTATTTAAATAATACGAAACGCTTTCAAAAACACGTACTTATTACATAAATTTTCATGATAATAGTAAGTTACCTTTATTTTTTTCATGTAAACAGCATACATATATTTTATTTTATTTTTATTTATTTTTTGTTTTTTTTTGTTTTCCAATATTAAGTTTAATATCAGTTTTACGATAGGCAATTGCTGGAACTCACCCGCACACGTAATTTGTAAATAAGAAATGCTAAAACACACATTGGCAACACAAGTAGCAAACCGCTACAAGCGACTAATGAGGAAGACACTGGGTATTCGCCCCAATTAAGTATTCTGTATATATATGGTTTTCCTATGCTGCAAAGTAAAATATGTGAGGGGAGTTTCTTTACAATTTTCCACAATGTCTTAGAGTACTTACACATTTTCGCCGCCTATCAGAAAGTATACTATAGAAAATACTAAGTATGCGATGACAATGAGCGCTGGATAGACGAAGTGTATTATACGCGTGGGAAATGCCACCACAACTTGGTCGACAATCATTAAAACCGAGTTGATTGCATGCGAATTGATGTTGTGGAAGTAGGCAAGACAACTGTGATTATCGGGTCCATCGAAGAAGTACCGATACAACCGTATGATTTCGATGCGATGTATGCCTTCGGGTACTTTAAAATTCGAAAATGGATATATAAATGCCCAATAAAGAAATGATAGACCGATAGCACATACAAATGCGGATATATGCAGATGCCAGTATAATTTCACGATCCAGCGTGGGCAAGCTGAAAATGAAACGCACATACGGTATACATGAGTACAACAAAATGCCGAAACAGTTAAAACATGCATACGTGCTTTTGGTGCAGTGAAACAGTAGACCGTAACTAGTATGGCGCTGAGTAGCGCGACRAATGTACAGAGCAAGTAACCCCAATTGGTGAAATAAATAAACCATTTGCCATCGAAGAAGAAAAGCTCCAAGCTCAAACCCATAGTGACCGCCAACCAGGCAGCAAAGCACCAGCGGTATATCAAGAATAGTATGGACCACTCACTCTTCTGCCACTGTAATGCAAATGATTAAAGTTGTTGAATTAAAAATGCCTAGCGTGAGTGGGGCTATTATGCGCACACTTGTGATTTGAAAAAACTGTTTACTAGCTCGTCACCGTTACGCCGCCAACAGCAGCARCCGCTCTGTAAAACCATTCGTTGTTCAGCTGAGGGATTATGCTCAGTTTATGACAATAATGGATACCTACTTCACTTATTTGMACTTGTACATCCATTTACAGTCGACTGAAATGCTGCCTTTTTGTTCCAAACGCTTGATTATTAAATATACAATTTTTTTTTAGTTATTTGACTTTCTCTGTGTTTTTTATATTTTTAGCACAAAGTTTTTGATTTTATTATTTCCGTTTTGCCAAAGTCATAAGCGTAAAATTTTGTTGCCGATCGTGGACAAAAAACGAAATAAATTTTGTTTTGTGAAAATAAAAATACAAAAATTGAAGTCAATTATTATATGACAATCATATAGTAACACGTATGTATGTACATAAGTATTTAATATAAGTATGTACATAACTTTCTAACGGAGTTGAGTGTACTGTTATAGAAAATGTTATCGTTAGATCATAATATTTAAAATTTTTTCGTGAAATGCTGCTGGGGTGATATTCGCTGCCTGCATATATTAAATGATAAAACATAAAATTTCATTAAAATCTTCTAACAGACATGCCTTGATAGGCATTGAAGGTTGATACTAACACAAATAAATTTAATGCAAGCAAACACGTTAAAATCGATTGTACTTAAGTTCTAATTCCTTTCACACGTGCATTTGTCATAGTATACAAWTTTCAATAGTTCTTTATATTGAATTTGAAGCTCGGTTTGTATGGCGGGTAAATTCTTTAGAAAATCTCTGCCAAATAAAATCGGAGATATCGGAAAGGTATTTCGTCAATTTATAAAAGTTCCAAACAAGGGCAATTGTTTGATCGTTCATCGTTTGAACAAAATTTCGGATCGATGATTCTCAAACTGAGGGACTAGTTCGCTCATATACAGACAGTTGRACAGACAGAACAGASGGACATGGCTAATTCGACTTAGCTCATTGATCTRATCATTTATATACATATACATATATATATTTTATAGGGTTTCAGATGTTTGCTTCTTGAATCCGTTGAGAAATCGCTGTAACGCGCTTACATAGCTGTTGTGGGGRTTATTTGGAGGAGTGGAAGTTATGGAGATGGAGTCATGTGTAGAAGTTCACACAAGTGAGGAAAGTTCTCTGATCGCCATTCACTTGGGAGTGGCCAGAGACGATTCTTTTACATATGACTTAAGCAGCTCACGACTKCCGGTATTTGACCAAGTATCCTCTGGGTAGCCTAAGAACATCCGTTTGAAGGCGAGCTAAAGTGAGAAGGCGAAACATACCCTGCATAGGGTTGTGCGCTGGGTTTGGGACACGCCACGTAAAAAAATATCACTAATGAAAACGCAACAACAGCCTCGGATGAGAGACCCCACTTTTGATGACGAC